GGAAGGAAGGAAGGAAGGAAGGAAGGAAGGAAGGAAGGAAGGAAGGAAGGAAGGAAGGGAAGAAGGGAGGAAGGAAGGATAGCAGAATAACACAGTTGGAAGGGACCTTGGAGGTCATCTAGTCCAACCCCCTGCTCAGGTCATGTTCCTTTTTCCAGACCTATTGTAACTTCGAACGGCCACTAAATGAAGGATTGTATGTTGAGGGCCACCTGTGCACCTTTGCAGGCAGGTCTCCCTGGGTGGCAGAAGCTGGGGGAGCCGTTTCTGCCTCCTCGGGGGGAGAAGAACGGCCCTCGTCTCCACGCCGAAGGGGGGGGGGCTTACCTCGTCACCCTCTTCCTGACGACGCTGCTGCTCCGCTTCGATGACCAGCTTGACCTGGATCTCCTGGGCGATCTCGCAGTCTTGCTGTTCCCTGAAAACACGGGAGGGTCCTTGGTGAGTGGGTGGGAGGCAGGGAGGCAGAGTGGAGCAGGGGACGGGAGCCGAGGGCAGCAGAAGAACCTTGAGTGAGGCCTTCAAGGTGAGAAAGACGGTTCTGGGGCAAGAATCATGTGAAGAGACCATAGAAGTCTCCAACCTTGGCCCCTTTAAGACTTGTGGACTTCAACTCCCAGAATTCCCCAGATCATAGAATCCTAGGGCTGGAAGGGACCTTGGAGGTCTTCTGGTTCAACCCCCTGCCTAAGATCATAGCATTCTAGGGCTGGAAGGGACCTTGGAGGTCTTCTAGTCCAACCCTTGACTTTTCCTTGCTGGCTTCTCTGTTCAGTTTGGGCTGCTCGCTGGGGAATTCTGGGAGTTGAAGTCCACAAGTCTTAAAGGGGCCAAGGTTCGATCCCCCTGATGTAAGAAATGGACACTACAGAAATGTGATCTATATCAGTCAATGAATCAATCAATCAATCAAGGCTCTGCATTCATGTCCTGCTACTAGATCTTTTGTAGGAGGAGGGATGGAAGAGGAGAAAGAAGAGAAGGGATGGAAACGGAGGAGGGATGGAAGAGGAGGGGAAGGGATGGAGATGGAGAAGGGGAGGAAGAGGAGGAGGGCAGAAGGAGGGGAGGAAGGAGAGGAGGAGGAGGAGGAGGAGGGAAGGAAAAGGAGGGGAGGAAGAAGAGGAGGAGGGAAGGAGAAGGGATGGAGGAGGAGTGGAGGAAGGAGAGGAGGAGGAGGAGGGGAGAAGAGGAAGGGGAGGAGGAGGAGGGGAATGAAAGGAGAAGGGATGGAGGAGGGGAGGGGAGGAAGGAGAGGAGGAGGAGGGNGGGGGGGGGGGGGGGGGAGGAGGAGGAGCCCCTGGCATGTACTTATGAAGCTTGCAGTGTCCCAAGGGAAGAAAAGCAGAGGGTGTTGCACAGGCACAGGGAAGAGGCCTGCAGGCTGAAGAAACCACACCAAGCAGCATCCCAGCGGATTCCCCACCCGAGTTCATTAAATCCCAGCTCTGGAAGTCCCTCTGATCACATCAGCCCTTCAAGGAGGAGGAGGAGGAGGAGGAAGAGGAGGAGAGCCGGCCCCTCAATCACAATCCGGGAGATGATTTCCCTTCTGCAGCAGCGATGATCATCAAGCGGGGGGGGGGAGGGGGGGCTTTCATTGGAGATTGGCAGGAAGCCCCGCCCACCTGGCACCCGGCTCTGCCCAGCTGGCATTGGTGGCCTTTGTTCCTTTCCAAGCGGAGTCCGGCATCCTTCTTGGCCACCAGGCGGGGTCTAAGGCAAGGGGGTCTTCAAACCTGGCCCCTTCATGACTCGTGGACTTCAACTCCCAGAATCCCCCAGCCCACCAACTTCTCCCAAACTGAACACAGAAGCCAGCAAGGAAAAGTCAAGGGTTGGACTTAAAGACCTCCAAGGTCCCTTCCAGCCCTAGGAGTCTATGATCTTGGGCAGGGGGCTGCACCAAAAGATCTCCAAGGTCCCTTCCAGCCCTAGGAGTCTATGATCTTGGGCAGGGGGCTGGACCAAAAGATCTCCAAAGTCCCTTCCAGCCCTATATTTCTATGGTCTTGGGCAGAGGGCTGGACTAGAAGACCTCCAAGGTCCCTTCTATGTGGTTATTCAGTAATTCTGAATCTACTTTGGCCTCCGGGATTGCAGCCTGAAGGACCTCTGGGCACTTGCCAAGGTCTGAGGGATGTATGTGTGTGTATCTGTTTGTGTCTATATATGTGTGTGTGTGTGTGCGTGTGTGTATTTGTGTGTCCCTGTGTTGCTGCTTTTGAGTCTGCCTTGACTCCTGGCATCAAGCCCTGTTTCCTGACCCCATTTCCAGAAGCCCTTGCCTTCTTCCTGGGGCTGAGAGGGGAGGACTGGCTGGCCCAAGGACTCACCGTCTTAATCACGACACCCAAATCATTCCCCTTGCAGAGATTAAGGCAGAAAAAGCAACCCGGGGGGGGGGG